GCACTGTACCTGCCTGACAGAGGCTGGACTGGATGATCCAGAGGGTTGAAGATGATGACGAGGATTTCAACAGCCAACATCCATAACAACAACAAAAGACTAGTTCTCACACTCCTCCCATTTCTAGAATACTTAATATTATATAATACTTATATTGTAATGTAATATAATACTTGTTTAATTCTTTTTAGATATTTGTATTGTTTTAGCTTTTTAAATACCATTTTAACGACATCAGCCGCCTTGGGTCTTTTGGGGGAGAAAGGCGGCACAGAAATATTTTCAATAAACAAACACTTTTCTGGTTCCTCCCCACGAAAACAATAGGGATCTTTATTTCGTGCGCCGGCTTTGAGCGAGGAAAACGGCTACGCACCGCGTGCTGCATCCTCACGGCCTCCACCGGATAAGCGCCCTTGGCAGTCTCGCCAGACAGCATGATGCAGTCCGCGCCGTCAAGGACCGCGTTCGCCACATCACTGCTTTCTGCTCTCGTGGGCCGGGGCTTCTTGACCATGCTCTCCAGCATCTGTCCGAGAGAGAGAGAGAGAGAGAGAGAGAGAGAGAGAGAAGACAAGCGTGTAAACTCGTTGAGTCCGGGTTCTTACCATATTTTTCCGTGTATAAGACTATACTTTTGTCTAAATTCTTTAGACTAAAAATAGAGGGTCGTCTTATACATGGAAGTAAACTGAGGAGAGAACAAACACAAGTGGAGGGGAAAGCAGGGATCAAAGCGATCCTGCAAGACGTTGATCCCTTTCCCCCTACACTTGTTAAGCCTCACTTAGATTTCTTAATTTATACATGGGGGCGTCTTATACACGGAAAAATACGGTATTCTCAAAAAATCCTTGCTCGGTTCCCGGTTTCTGCAATCTTACCGAAATGATTTCGGCAGCCGAACCTAAACCATAGAGGCAAGAACTGTATCTTTATTTGTATAATCAAGTATTCGCTCCATCGGTCTGCAGGCTTTCCTGCACGGAAGTCACGGTGGCACCCGTTGCTTCTTCTCCCTGAGATTTATCTTCACACTCACAACCCTGCAAGGTGGTCACGCACCCCGGCTTGTAGTCCCCGAGTGAATTTCGTGACGGAGCTGGGATTCAAACCTGGATCGCCCAAGTCCTACAATCCGACACCTTCGTTGATACACCGGGCTACCTCTTCCTGTTTTTTTTGCAGCTTACCTGCGTGGCACATATCACAGGCTTCCCCGCTCGGTTACATCGGCCGATCATCATCTTTTGAGCCAAGAAAACCTTCTCGGCTGGGATCTCAATGCCCAAATCTCCCCGGGCCACCATGATGCCATCGCTGGCTTCCAGAATCTCATCAAATCTGCAGGAGAAAGCAAGAGAGCTTACAAAACGGAGCTAACCCGAGCAGTGTGTCTTATTATAATATTTTGTGTTTTTTTCATTTTTACAGGAAAGAGGCAATTCAGAATGCAAACATCTGGCCTTGTTTCAGAGCTCCGGAAAAATGACATCTTTGATCTAAAAGGCCAAGAATGCTATCACTTAAAACTCTGAGAATCCTAGTCGTAAAAAAATTAAATAATTTTCTTTGCAGATAAGCAGAGCTTATCTCTCTAACTGTCCTCTCTAATCTTTGCCTGGAAATGTCTTCCTAGCGGTTCCTCAGGTTTTCCTGCCAAAATCAAGAGGTCTAGAAACTTGACTCCCCTCTGGCTGTTAGAAAACCATTTGAGAACGTTCCAGCAAAGTCGAGGAGGCGAGAAACATGTTCAGAAAAAGAAAATGAACATTGTGGACTTTCCTTAAACACCAAAATGATCCAGGTTTGCTGTTTCTCTCTCTGTTTGCAAACTGGCAAATTCATACTCACGACCGACTTCTACATTTGCTTAAATGAATTAATGGAGATGCAGAATTCTGTAAACGAGGTACAGAATTTCTGATATTTCTTCTAAAGTCCACAGGTCAAGAGAACTAGAAACTTACTTTTTTTCTGTCTTTGCCCATAAAACGTTATCATGATGGATTCTCTACCAGTCCACAGTTTATAGGGGTTAGTTTAGTTATTCTCCCACCCCTAAGTTTGTTGGAAGCAGTGAATCTGTTGAAGTCTGTTCTTGAAAGCAGTCCTGTTTGTTCAGTTTGCTGTTTGATCTGTTCCATTGTAAATACTGAAACTTTTAATTCTTTCTACTATTCATACCTCAGAGTGAGTTATTGAGACTATAAGTGCCAGCTGATGAGGGGGGGAAGGGGGGGACAACTCTGGGCAACTTGAAGCTATTCGGCTCTCTGAATCCCTACACTTCTGCGGTGCAACTAGAGGAACTGAAGCAGAAATTAAAAACTCTGAACAGAAAGAGGTGCGCTTTACAATCTCCACAATCGCAGGATGAGATGAAGAGGACACGAAAAACGAAAGCAGGGAAAATATGAATTACTTTTTCACCCCCTCGTGGTTCTCGATTTTGCTGATGATCTTGATGGCCCGGCCGCGTTCTCCCAGCACGGCCCGGATGGCAGCCACGTCGCTGGCCTTGCGGATGAAGGAGGCGAAGACAATGTCGACCCCCTGCTCCAGACCAAACTGTAGGTCCCGAATGTCCCTCTCGGAGACAGCTGGCAGGTCTACCTCAGCCCCCGGCAAGTTCACCCCTTTTCGGCTGCACAGCATCCCACCGTTTTCCACCTCCACCACGCAGCTGTCGGGGCCTGTTGGGGGAGAGAGACAAGCGGGGCGGCTCAGATTCGGTGAGACTGCGAGCCCAGTTCTGAGAACAAAGATCAAACTAGACATTATAGTTAGCCCATAATTGGAATGCGTATGTGCTGAAGGAGATGTGATTGTCACAACAGGAGCTTTCCACACTGTAGCTTGCATAGGAGCTTACGTTGCCACTGGTCATTGGGGAGGTAAGCCTGGCTTCGTGTGGGAATACAATTATCCAGACATGAAGATCTGCGGGAATGATGCCTCTCGAACGCTTCAGCGTCAAATTACATGCTTGCTACGATGTACAGGATGGGTGTCAAAGATGTTATTGGCTGTTGGAGACCTTCAGCAAGGAGATGCTGTGTCTGAGGTCCCAAACATGATCTAGAGGTCAAGAAGCCAGACAGCATCCTTATAGAGAGTGCGGGGAGAAAGGGGGGAAATTCTAAGGCTTGGGGAGGCAGCGGAATCCACTCCGGGATTTGGTCCGAACTTTAAAAAGGTTAAAGGTAAACCCGTTCACCGCCCCTGCGAAACTGGGAGTCATACATACGGATTTCCTTGACCAGTAAAGAGATGAGCCCATCGTCCACGAAGATCCGTCCACCAACTTTGACCACTTTTGGCAAGTTCGGGTAGTCCACCCAGAGGGTCTTCTCGTCACAAAGTTCCTGGAACGCGGGGTCCGTGGTCACGACCAGCTTCGATCCCTTGACCAGCTCCACCTCTTTGTTCTCCCCCTGTGAAAGCAGGATCAGACCCAAGATTAGTCGGAGGGGATCGTTCCTCTGCAAGGAAAACATCGCTGATTTCATGGTTTGTTGTTGTTGTTGTTGGGGGCAATGTTGTCGTTTTGGGTTGGGAGTTCGAATCCCCCCCCGTGCCTCCTTCACAGGGTCTGGAGTCAGGGATTCCAATTCTGCGGTTCTAAGAGGTGGAAGATGATTAATGGCCATTAAGCAGGCGAGGGAGGTCCAAAGCTTTGGACTCCTCAAACAGGAGCAAACTTCCACTGCCCAAAATGAGACATTTGTATAAGTGAATCAGTGGATACTGATCCTGCGGATAAGGGGGCGTCCTATGATACAGCAAAGCTTGGGCCAAATAAATCTTACTCGTCGTACCACCCGTACCTTTGATTCTTTGTTCTTAAAAGTGGGACACGGTTCCCACCCCCAGGGAGATTTAGAAGGCACCAAAATCTAGAGGATAATCTCCGGATAAATGTTAGGAAAGCGTGGAGCGTTATTTGCAACCTCGCAGGCAGCCTGTAGGTTGTTTGACTAGGGGGGACTTTTCTGACTGTCCATCTATCCAGCACTAACCAATCATTCTCTCCTGCCTCTGAATTCAAAGAGAGGCCCGCCTCTCTGCTGAGTATTTCCTTTCCCTCTCTTTAGGCTGCTAAAGTCGGTGGTTTGTTTGCTGTTGATCTGCTCCCCAACCGTGAGTAAGGAAATGTTTTTATTCTTCCTCCTACCCATGTCTCAGAGTGAGCTGCTGAGACTTTAAGGTACGGTCCATGAGAAAGAGGGTGAAAATAGAAATATGATTCATCCTTTGAGTGCCAGACGTACCCCTTTGACCAGACCGGTACGGATCTCAGGGCCTTTGGTGTCCAGAGCGATGGCCACCGGTCGGTAGAAAAGGGGGTTGGAGGCGAAGCTTTCGGTGGCTTTTCGGATGTTCACGATGGATCCTGCATGATACTGAAACGGGAGGAAAGCAATCAACGGCTGGACAAAGGGGCTGAACGCAGAGGACAGAAATCCCTGTGGATCTAAGCTGGGGGTTGTGTGGCCCTTTAGAGCCGGCCGGACTACGATTCCCACCAGCCTCCAGCCCGTGGTGCAGGGCGGATGGGAGTTGTAGTCCAACAGCCTCTTGAGATTCACCCCTCTCTTAGATCAAGTCTCGGGTTCTCCACGAGAAGGGGAGGCGGGGAATGAAAGAAACCCCTTCCAACCCTCCTGTTCTGACTCTCTTTCAGGAGATCGCCTTCATCTTAATCTCTGGGGCAGAAGACGGCGCCGATCCACCCGATTTCATACCTCGTGTGAGCCGTGGGAGAAATTCAGCCGTGCGATGTTCATCCCGGCTTTGATCATCTCGCGCAGCATCTCCACAGAGCGGGAGGCTGGACCTGAAAGAGGAAAACAAGTTCAATTTCGGGACAGCTCTGGGAGAATATCCCATTTTTTTTCCTGGACTACAGTGCCCATCATCTCCCAGCCGGACCCTCCCAAAGTAACTTTTTTCTGAGCGGTGCTTTTTTTTTTTTTTAAGGCAGTGTGTCGTGCCCTCTAGTGGGTCTCATACACACCCAAGCTGGATGCCTGGCCACTGATTCCTACAAACCTACAGATTTGTAATCATAAGGACTAGAAGCTCGGGTCTCCTTTTAAAAAAAAACACAATACATCAAAGGAGCTGCACTCTAAATCCACTGAGGATATTTCTGCACTGCCATGGAATCATTTTGCACATCGTGACCTGATCCAGAGTGGCTCTAGAGAAATTGATGAATTACAACACCCATCGTTCTGCACCTTTAGAAGAGCTGGAGAAGCCCGGTGGGAATGGGAGTCATAAAACACTGGAGCCCCGCAACTGCAAAGGTGTCCCGCAGGAGACTGAACAAAGCCAGTCCATGCTCCTGCAGTGCCCTGGGGGCGGCCCAAGAAGGGGGCCCGTTGCTACCAAAAAGGACAGAAAGAGGGGCTTGGTTTCTCATCCAATCCTCTATGTGGCCGCGGGTCCTCATTTTCTCCAAGAAATCCTCATAAAGGCCAGATTTTTGGAAGAAAACATGAAGACGCAACAGACAAACCTGAAGTAGCCAAGTATTTTCTCCTTTTTGTCTTTTCTAGATCTACCTGCAGATTGGTATTCTCGGGCACCCTTCCTTCTTTCTCCAAAGTCACTTTCTGCTCCTCGTCCCCCCCCCCCTTAGCTGGAGGGAATCAGTCTTGCAAGAATGAAAGTTGGGCTTTCGTAAATAGATTTAATAATCAGGCTGTTTCTCTTTTTCGCCTCCAGAGGGATTACCTACGTCTCCTCGGTAGTTACAAGCTTAGGCTCACTGCGTCCTGCAATCAATCATCACCCCCAACACGGATTATCTCCTCCACCTCTTGCATCCAGTGAAACCAATCGCTATTGATAAAGTGGCCGGTTCTGCGTTGCTAAAAAGGCGGACATCCGCCCACCACAAACACATATACATTTGATCGGCACGCAATGCGAATGTGCTAATAAAGAGGTTGAGTTGCGAAATTAGGAATGAGGCAGCCGGGACTACAGTGCTTCGAATTGGGAGGGGAAGATCCAAACCAGGGGACCTGTGCACCTTCCTGAGGCCGCTTGCTGTGGACGATGGGCTCCCTGATCCCTAACCGTTCCTAGTTCTTGAGCTTTAGATCCGAAACGTCGGGTGGAGGAGCCATTCCAAGGGGCAACCCCTTGACCTGCTTTGGAAACAGAGGCCTGCCGTCCGTAAAAGGGACCCCGCGGCCGACACGCACCCCCCCACACACACTCCCTACCAATGGTGCAGACGATGCCGGTGCTCCGGGCGGTGATGGGTTCCGAGTCGATGTCCAAGAGGCAGAGGTGTTCCAAAAATGTATCGGCCATGGAGGCCGGCAGCTGCTGGCGTTGGAAGAAAGCCGTGCCCAGCTCCTGGGTCAGGGAGGTCATGTCCTCGGGGAGGATGAAGCTTCCACCTGCTGCCAAGACTTGCAAGAAAGAGAAAGTGGAGACTCTTGAACACAGACCCCGGCTCTAAGCTGCGTGGCCATAGCCTGGCTCCCTTTCAGCACCCAACAAACGATCACAAGCCGGCCGCATGACCGGAGCGTGTGCTGGCTCTCTTCCCTGCCTGTGCCCTCCCTCGCCTTTCCAGCCAGCTGAGCGACCCACGGGGGGCACCCAAGGAGCCCTCCTCCCTTCGGGGGGGGGGCTTTGCCCCAGACTCACACACCATCTTTCCTGTCACTCCTTGCCTCTTGATCTTTGCCTTCTCCAGCTTGGGTAGACTCTGCCCCCCAGGGACAAACCTCCCAGGCACCCGCCCCCCGCCCGCCTGGCAAAGCTCCCGCCTGGATCCCTAGTTAAAAAGTGACCAGCTAGATTTCGAAGTCCACCTTCCCCAGCCGGGGTGTGTGTGTGCGTAGACTGGGCTGGCTGATGCCGCTTGGTGCCTCATTGGGCCTGGGTGGTGACGGCAGGGATAATGAAGAAGACCGTTTCATCATCCTCTCAGAACGGCAGAGCTGGAAGGGACCCTTTGGATCATCAAGTCCAGCCCCTATCAAGGAGGCACGGTGCAGAATTCGAACTCCCAGCCTCTGACTCAGCGGCCAGAGATGTAAACCACTGAGAAATCCAGCAGGTCATCATTGCATTATTATTATTATTATTATTATTATTATTATTATTATTATTATTATTATTATTATTATTATTATTATTATACACTTTTTAAATTGCAGTTTGTAAATTTTAGCCACATAATATGTTTTATGAATTGTTTGTGTATTTTAAAACTGCATTTTGTATATTTTAGCCATAAATATGTTTAATGAGCTGGTCACCTGACCATAATTAATGCATGCATTCATTCATTCATTTATCATCACCATTATACAAAGTGTTTTATTTCTCTTTTTCTAGGTTTCCCTTCCAATTTCTTTCCTTCTGCTTCTCTTCCCCTCTGACCTTTTCCATCAAATGTGTTCCCAGTTTTAAATTAGTTGTGTTTTTTTCCAGTGACATGACACATTTAGCCATTAAACAATCTTACTTGTCTACCAAATAAGCAAGGCGCAAGAGAGAGAGAAAGATTCACGAAGCCCTATTTTCATCCTTGACCCATCTGCACAAAATTGTCCTCAGGGAGGGGCTTGGGGATGTCACAGAGGCAGGGCAGGCAAAAAGCACAAGACCAGCTGAGCCTTTGTGCCAGCTAGATAGGGGGGGAAATAGGTAATAAAGTTTAAAACCACCCCATGTACAAAGAGAAAACTGTGTGCGCCACCAGCCGTGCTCACCTTATGATGTTATTTCCTCACCTGGAGAAGGTTTGCAATACCTGAAATTTCATCCACAGCCCATAAACTGATGACAGGCTGACGAAAGAGCTCTTCCGCCTGCTACCAGCCCACTCAGCTGTTCTTAAGAAACTACCGAAGCCTACGCACTGGGTGTACCCGGTGTGATGCCGTTGATAAGATTGTGAAGCCAGAAGGCGTGGGTTCGAATCCCCACCTGACCATCGTAAAACCACTCCTTATAAATCTTATGTACGTATCCTGAAAGGCTAGGGTTGTTGCAACACATCGATTCGGAGCAACAACAGAAAAGCCGAAGCTGGCCCAAGTCTCTGGCTCGCGGACTCAGAGGTTGGGAGTTCGAATCCCCCCACAGTGGGAAAGGAGCCAGCCTGGGTGGCCTTGGGCAAGCTGCACCATCCCAGGGCGCCCCTAGAGGACGGGAAGGGTAAAGCACCCCTGGGTACTCAATGATACCTATACGGAAAGTCCGGAAAGGGATACCATAAGCTGGAATTGACGGCATCCAATTATTATAAAATGCCCTATTAAGAGCTCTTTTGCCCCAATAATCATCTAGCGTCCTTTGGGTCCCCCGTGCAGTTCTCCTCGACCTTGCTTTATGCTCACAAACAGCCCTGTGAGGTAGGCCAGGTTGAAAAAAGGGGCACCTGGCCCTTGGTTATCTAAGGAGTTGCGTGGCAGGGGTTGATTTGAACTCAGGACTCTCTGAGCCTGAGTCCAGCTCTCAAACCATGGCGCCCAGTTGGCTTCAGTAAGCAGCCCACACCGACTGATACCGGCCATCAATGGCCATCATCATGACCTCCTGATGTTTGGAACTATGCCTCTCGGAGGCATCCTCTTGCTCTTTGCCTCTGGCGGCCAAATATCTCGGGTCATGCCCACCGGACATGCTGTTAAAAACATTTTGCTCGCACGTCATCTCGGCATCGCACGGCGCGTGAGGCCGGCCCTGTTGTTGGACAGCGTGAGGCAGCTGCCTCTTGTATAAATGCCCCTACGGGCAAAGGCGAAATATTTCCTTGATATAATGATATATTTTTTACTGCTAGGAAGGGAAGGGCAAAGTTGTAGATTAAGGGCCTGAAACTCTGAGAAGAGCCCAAAATTACCTTCTTGATCAAATCTAGCATCTTAAACTGAACTGGAAGCAAACTGGGAGTCGGTGCAGTTGGTTTGAAACCAGTGTGACTTTCCCCACCTTCTGGCGGCCAGATTTGACCCTCGAACAGCCGTCAAGGGCAGGCCCAGGCCGAATGGGCTACAGTAGTCTATCCAGGAGCTCCTGCGGATCCCTGTAGTCAGATCCACCTTCCACAGAAAAAGGTGAACCCAGCGCAGTGTCTGGAGTCAGACCACGGCGCCCTCCTGGCTTCAGCCGCTAATCCGGGGTCCAGGACCACTTTCCAAAACTGCTAACTTGGGTCTTCCAGGTGGGGGACAACCCCATATGGGTGGGTCAGGCTGAGAGAGCCGAGGGTCGCCCGTAGAGCTTTCGAACCAAGTGGAGCTAAGAGGCCCCGAGTTCTAATCTTCACCCAGCCATCAGGCATTTGCCGCTCCGCACCAGAGGCCTCAAAGCAGGCCAGCCCTGGCAAGCCTTCTCCGTGGGAGCATCAGAGCGAGAAAACCATGCGTCCTGCGTGGCCAGCCTCTGGGGAAACACCCCTGCGGGGTTGGTGGGGGTTCTGGCTACGAAAGGGAGCACCGAGGCAGGGAAAGGGGAGGGGAGGAGGGGAGAAAGATGCCATACCCTTTGCCTTCTGGCGCTTCCTTCTCTCGCTTTTTTCCGCCCGGAGGAGCTGCAGGAACAAGGAAGTGGCCACAGCTGGATGGGAGCCCTCAGAAAGCCAGTCCCCTTCCGGGTGGAAAACTTCCATCTTCCAGATGCAAAACCAACAACCACACCCTGTGGCTGTTTTTCTGCTCGGCCTCCGAGAGAGACGCCCCTTGCTTTCTGCAAAAGCGGCATTTCAGGGCTAGCTGACGAGGGGGTGAGAAAGGAACAGTGTCAGCCTAAACTCTGCATATTTCCACACACCCACACAGGCCAGTTCGCCTTCATTCTTTCCAGAGGTTGCCGACCGGACGAAACACCCGGATTTCGGAGAGGACACACCTGAAACCCTCACAAATGGTCTTGGCACCGGGTTGTTCGGCGCTGTCCGGTCCCCTCCGGCGTTGGGCGACCCTTATGAACAAGCGCTCCCCAAAAAGGGCCCCGTCCTCCACTGCCCCTGCTCAGGTCTTGCAAACTCAAGCTTGTGGTTTCCTTGAGGGAGTCCGTCCATCTTGTATTGGGCTTTCCTCTTTTCCTGCTGCCTTCCGCTTTTCCCAACTTTTTGCAGTGAGTCTCGGTGTCTTGTGATGTGTCAAAAAAGCAGGGAATTTTCTTGCTGTGAACTGTGCTTTTTGGGGGTGTGTGTGTTTTCTTGCGAGCTTTATACTAGTAGTATGTGGGATCTTGAGCTGACAGTAAAGCTAACGCTTTCCCTCTCTGTGTGTCATCCTCCCTTTCTCTCCCCTCTTCTTTCCCACCCACTTTCTCCTTCCTTCCTTCCTTCCTTCCTTCCTTCCTTCCTTCCTTCCTTCCTTCCTTCCTTCCTTCCATCCT